GGCTGGTCCTGCTTTGAGCAGGGGGTTGGACTAGATGTGACCTCCTGAGGTCCCTGTCAGCCCTCGTTGTCTATGATTCTAGGAACAGTATACTTACTTTGTTATTTTTCTGATCAAAAAAGGATTGAAAACTAGGATCTGGCATTTTCTGATGGGTGACTCAGGTCTATCCAAGGGTACCTGGAGTCTAAAAAGGTTGAAAGACAGTGCATGTGGGTATTGGGCTAAAGCGTGGAAGGATCCTCCTTCTTGCTGTTTTTTTAAGACTTTTGCTCAGCTACACCCATATGTAGCCAGCTTGTGCCCTGCTGCACATGCTCAGTAGCCACCCACAATACACGAGTAACAGAATCGCATACTGTGCACACGTGACAAAAATGCTGGAAAACAGCCATTTGGGGCTGTAAAATTAGACAGAATTGCACATAGTCAGTCACTGGCACACGATGGATTAGGACATAGGACTTTTCTGGCCCCGGTCCTGAGCCTGCTGCTATATCGTGACTCTTCCTTAATAAATAATATCTCTGTCCTGAGTTTGTACATACACTTGCAGTCTGCTTATTGCAACCACAACCATCATGACTGACACTTAGACAAAAGCAAACCCCAGTTGGAGTTGCAAGGTATGTCAAGCCTGGGCAGTTTTCTCCCCTGCCCCCATAACTCTTTGGGCTGTTTTCGGCATTTTAGTAAGCACTTATACAGAGACTAGCACAATGGGACCCTGATTAGTGACCCAAATCCTGAGGCTGGGCTGGTGCACAAACGAGCCATAAATCAGCATTCAGTCCATGGAGCCATACCGAGGTAGAACAGATTTCAGTGAACGGGGAATTGGGGCCAAAGACACAAAAGGAATACATATGCCACTCATGTCTATTTTGAAGACAACTGGAGATAACCATTTAAATAGCTTTGTTCCTTTGCCTGGGTTCAGACCTGATGAAAAATGTCTTGCGTTTGAAAGCTTGTCTAACTCCATCCCAACCATGTAGTTGGTCCAATAAAAGATACAACCCTAAGAAATCCTTGCCTACTGTAATCCTCGTTCCTTTTATATTAAAATAGCATAGAAGAAATAGAGTTAAAAAGATGAGATCATGGGTAGACAATTATGCCCTTGCTTAAATATAATAGCTACACTGACAGGAAACGCCTATTATGCCTTTTGTCTCAAAATCACGGCTGACGCTTTACTTTGAATTATTACTTGGATCTGCAGAAACCATTTTTGAATCTCTTGATTCCTTGGCATGGTCCAGCCTAAAGGGCACACCTTTTCCTGTAGTTTTGTGGGTGCTGATTGGAGGGGCCCTTGTGACAGGCGTTCATCAAGTCAAAAATGCCTACTTGTACAAGGTTGTAGCCGTGTTGGTCTGAGGACACAGGCAGACAAG